ACATGACAGGGGATTTTGGCATACCTTTGGGGCCTCATATTCTGGAAATACCCAGATTGTGGAATCTGAATGTGCTTGCTCTGAGGAGCTTCCCTCTTTGCGCTTCTGAAGCACCACAAGGGTTTCCCAAAATTGGGGGTACCTCCTTGGGGGTCCCTATAATAAGGATCACAGTACATTGAGGTCTATGTTGGGTTCCCCCTATTTATAGAAACTCCCGAAGAATCAGGCAGCGCGACCAGGGTAGGGGCTTTGTGGCAAAAGGTGCATTATATCTCGGAATCCCAGATGCTCCAAGCACTCCTGGGTTGATGTTAGGGTTTAGGGTTCAGGGTTAGGGTTTAGGGTTTAGAATTTGGGGTTATATTATGAAGAATCACATGGAAAAGAAGATGGAACATGAAATGGAAACTGGGGCAATATAGGGATTTGTTTGAGAACTTGAGCTAATATACCATAATTTGGGCATATAGCAAACAATGGCGTCTCCTTAGTAGAGCAATTTGACCAAAAAAAGAGTTCCTTAACAGCAACCCGGCTTGTAGAGTGCTAGTCAAAAGCAGAAACAGCTGTGAAAGCCCAACATGCAGATTCACAGTTTACTCACAGTGGGTCGGCTCTCATGGGCAAATCTTCCATGTGTGCCTATGACATAGTTTAGGGTTTAGGGTTTAGGGGGGTATGAGGAGTCATGATAGTGATTCCGATGGATATGACTGACGAGTGAGCAACCCTTGCAGTCGCTGGAGGGCCTTTGGAAAGAGGCGGCCGATGATACCTTCCAGCTCCAAAATCTGAAAAGTGAAGTGCCAAAGAGCCGAGACTACCGCTACAAAGCATTGCAGGCTCAGATTGTTGATGGGGTTTCTCGGCAAAACGTGTTTGGTGGATGCTCATGGGATCCCCTTTCAAGTTTTACAGGTACCTTTTCATCTCACTTGCTGTCATGTGCAATTTGGGCTCAGGGAGTCATGCAGCACCCAAATATGATGACACAACGACGCCCTCCCTGACCCTCATTGCAACAGTGCTGTTGCATGCGGGCCACCTGGCGCCAGAAACGCATCCTCCAGCCTTTATACTCCTTACCCTAAACCCTAATACACTCTAATCCTTATTATAGGGACCCCCAGAAGCCCATATGCTCAGAAGAACCATCAGAGTCAATGAACCTAAGGACTCTAAGAATCCTGAGATCCCTGACCTTGCATTGTTTAATTGAACTAAAGCTATGACCATTATATGACCCCTATATATCCCCTATATAACACCTATATATATCCCCCCTCTATATCTCCTATATGTCCCTTCTACACACACAAGCAAACACTGACAGCTTGATCCACCTTCTGGACGTAGCATGCTATCTTTTTTTAGGAAGGTCTCAGAACTGAAGGCTTGCGGCTTGCCTATTCGGAAGGAGTTGCCCTTTGAGAGCTTGCCAGGGTAGATCACGAACCTCATGTTATTCTGGGTTGCTGTAAAGGAACTTAAATTAAGTTACCATACTGGGTATATATAGTAATTCATATGGCTTCCTTATGAACAGCAACCCAGGATATCCAGCCATGTGTCCACATGCTGTGCGACACGAATCCCTCTCCATGAACACAACAAGGTCCAGTGAATGCCTTGCCCACAAACCAGGGTTAGATTTGCAATACCGCACCTTGTACATAGTTTGCGAAGAAATCTACCTCCGCTGAGGGAACCAACCAACCCATGAAACTTGTACAGCCTCACATTGCAAGTTGATGTTAGACCGGTTTCATTTCCTTGCCTTGACAGAAGAAACCTGATATCTTCAAGTCACACCTTGGAAGCCAAAGCCCAAAGCCATAAACCACAAACTCCGCACGTTACTCCGTCTTCCAGAAGTGGTCAAGTAAAACTTCAGATTCTTGCACAGAAGCCCATGATCACAAAATTTCAAACTAGCCGCAAGACCTCCACTATACGGCTGGGGTGTCGCAATAGTCTTTTTACTTCCTTTCCTTGCGAAGGCCTGTTTTCCAGATCAAGAACGGACCGCAAATGCAGCAGGTCCTCTACAAGGAATGATGTCGTCAAAAAAAACACCATCAGTGAATTCAGAGATCGGTAGATGAGCTTCTTTGATCGAGGGCCCCATAGATCTGGCGTAGAAGCCTGCTTATTCAGAATTGCTTCTGGGCATATTTGAGGTAAGGTAGACTGGAATTATGTGCAGACTACAAGATATTCAGATACGACCAGCACCTTAACTAGCAGACAGTGAGGCATTCTTGCAAGGGGTGAGTGTCGTGCCCCTGCTCGGCAAGCAGGTTATAGAAAGTCTGGAAGTCGAAGTTCCTGGCCACATCTGGGTTGGGGCTTAGGGTGCCAGCGGAGTTGTGAGCAAAAACAAGAAGCAAAACAGCGGCGGCAAGCGCCCGAGGCTTCTCTTACTGCTCACGAAGTCTTCCGATCTGAGGGAAGGCGCTGTTTCAATCAAATTAACAGCAAAAACAAAAAACTGTTAAGCATTGTGTCGACGCATTAAACTTAAGTGACTCCATTGACGTGGTAAACAAGTGTAGACGCAGCAGTTCTGAGAGATTTTTGCGGAATGCTTATTAGGACTCCGCACCAACTGCTTTTCCTTGTATGATTTTGGTGCCACACCTGTATCAACGTGAGTGGAAGACAACCAGAGGTTTGGCTTCCATTTCATGAGTGATGTTATGTAATCAGCTCCGGAGAGAAAGGCCACACTAGCAGCATGCGGATCTTCTACCTCAATGCACTCGCAGCCACACTCGCATGATCCAAAGCCTTACCCTTGGCTAGCTAAGAATGCAGGAATGGATCCCTGTAGTAGTCCCTATATAACCCCATTATAGTCGTTTCCATTCTAATTTCCATTATCCCCGTATAACCCTGTATACCCCTGTACAAACCCCATATACCCCCATTATAGTAGTTTCCACATTCTTTTCCATTCCTTCATTCCCAGCTAACCAAAGGCCAGATTCTCCAAAGCAGCACAGACTATTGCTCATACGCTCAAAGCACCAGTCATGCATACTAGACAAGACCTCAGAAGCCCTGCATACTCTATACATTATAGTATAATATCATATATAATAATATAGTATAGTATATACATATATACTAGTATAGTGTGTATATATATATATATGCTGGGGAAATCCTGCCAGCAGGACGGATGGTCAGGCGTCTTGAATGTGCAGATGCAGTAGGACCTGTGCGCCTGGATGGGTAAACACTGTTCGCGCTCAGCAATACAGGTTTGCATGAGGAACCTTCCATGCAGAAGCAGAAATGTGACACGAGCCAAACCCAACCGAGAAGATGTTCAGAAAGACCTTTGCAGAAGGAGAGACGCGCACAACACGTAGCGGCACAGGCATGCATGGAAGACGCAATCGGGGAGGACCTTCCCGCAAACAATAGCGCTTTCAGACCATGCAATCTCCTCCACCAGAACAGCGTGATCAGCTTCATTGGAACCAACCGTTCATCAAGCCCGATAGGGCGACCCGTTGAGTGGAGAACACGATTGGAGAGACCCCTCAGCTGGAGATGACCTCTTTTTAGTTGTGGCTTCTTGCTAAGATTCAGCAAGGCCTCTTGACTGGTAATTCGCACTTCCGGCGCCTTTGGCACGTAGAACTCAAAGCCCATCTCCTGCATCCCACGCCTCAGTCAGAAGCGCTGTTAAAACATGGGGGGTTGTAGCCAAATTTGTGAAGATGAAAAGTGCTTTAGTGTGATGTGCAGAGTATTAATGAGGCCTGCAGGATTTGCGGCTTCTTAGGTCTTAAGCCTGTCTGTTGGTTCCTAGCGTCCAGAACACAAGGTGCTGGCCTTATGACAGAAAGTTGGCCATATTCAGGAAGCACGGAAGTCCGACACCCTGGGACCAAATGATCGTTTTCAAAGCAGAAAAAGGCAGTCTCAGTTGTGAGGACTGCTGGAGAAGCTAATGTCAACACGTCCTGAAGATGCAGGACAATATTCTCTGTATGAGCGTCACATTAAGCACCCCCCATTCAATTTCCACATTTTCCCACTGAAGTGTTGTGCGGAGACTTGCCCCGCATGTGCAACCAAGCTGAGCCTTTTGAGCCAAGCCTGGGCGTCCTGCTGACATACCCACAACATCGTAAACTCAACAACTTCAAAATAGAGAAGAAGAAGACTGACTTAGCGGTGGCAGCAGCAGCAGCAGCAACCAGAACCAAAGCAACAGCCACAAACACAGCTGTTCCTGCCATTTTATTTTCCGTACCGTCATCCACTATCAACCCCCAAACCCTAAAGGCTAGTTTCTATGGTCTGCTCCATGCCTTCATTCCCTTCTAACGAGAGGTATAAGCATCCCGAGGAAGATGCTGTTGAAGCAGACGGCAAACTTACCTCTGGTTACTGTAGTGGGGAACGAGAAAATGGAACTTACTATAGCACTGAGGATTGTATAGGGACTACTATAGGGATTCCTTCCTTCAGTCCTTGCTGACCACAGGTATGCCAGATGGTCTAGTGCCTTGTTTTGCTTTCTGGCAGCAAGTCCTGTTGGCTAGCGAAATTGGTAGATTCCCAAAATAGGGGGTACCCACTATATATATATATACATATCCCAAAATACTGTAGTCCTTATCATGGGGACCTCGGAAACAAGTACCCCCTAATTTTGGGAAAACCCCAAGTGCCGAAGTGAGTTGCGACACTGTCCTGAGCTGCCATCGCCACCAGATGGCAATGCTTCGCAAATGAGCAGCGTTACTACTATCATCCTGTGATGACTGCTAACGTTATCATAATTATAAATAGTGTTACGCTGAAAGTGAATTCTTCCGTTACCGTACTAGCTATACGACAGCCATGATCATGATGCTGCTGCTGCTAGGACTGACGGACTTCATTGTTAGTGCTACTCCTGTATCATTTGCATCAGTTTAGGGTTTAAGGTTTAGGGATATCATCTCTCAGCATGTTAGGCTTGAGGAGTGCTTACTTCACGACTGGGCCAACATGACCACGCCGGCGACTGCAAGGAGAGCCCCTACGACCGACCGAGTCGTGACTGCTTCTCCTTTCCTTAGAAGTTAGAGTTTAGGATAGTTTAGGGCTCTGAGAACCCTGCCAAACATGTTAGCTTTGGATGGGCTGCTTCTTGGGAATATGAACAACCAGAAAAGAATTCCAAACACATAACAGCCTCATCAAGTACACGAGTGGAATTGCATAGATAGGTCCAAAGCTTGCGAGGGTAATAGCGAATGCCAGTGGAATCTGAAACAAGGCGTAGTTGTAGAGGACTGGATTGCAACACGTCACCAAGAGCACGCCCATTGTCACCAACAACCACTCGCGCTGCGTCATGCCGAGTAGAGATGTTGGTGCCAGCCCTTCCTTTTGCTCAGATTCCAAAAGTGGTTTCGTTTCATCGTATGGCAGAACCGCATCCCCCAAAAACTGCTGCTGTGATACCATGCCCGACACCTTGATGACCAAGTAGACTGCAAGGAGCATGATTGAGGCTGCACCAAAGCGAATGACAGTGATGTCCAAGGCATCCAGCGGGGGACCACCCCACCTCTTTGTGAGAAAGGCTCCCATGGCATCAAAGAAAACATTTACAAACGCAAGAGAGTAGCCGGAGAATAGCACGTCCCCATCCAGCTTTTGTTCTGCTCGATCGTCATGATCTGCTTGTTTCTCCAGCGCACAAAGCAGAACTCCAACTACTGTAACAAGCATGCCTGCATATCCGAGGCTCGCGATACCTTAGCGCTGACTGCCCTGCTATACAAAAAAAAGCCAGCTTGAGGCAACAATGCAAACAGTATGTCGTCCACGAAAATCAAATTGCAATCACCTAGCGATTACATTGACATTGACGAAGCTAGCAGTCATAGACATTATGAATCTTAAGTAATGAAAGAGCAGGACTGATGAGCATACCGTTACTCATGACCGCAATCGCGGCGTGACTGCAACACCCTGGAAAAATTGTACCAAAAGTGCCCCAAGATACGCTCATCCAAGAAGATCCGTCCCAGCATAGCCTCACCATGAGACCCCTACTCAAAACCTCATGGAACTTCCGTACACACCCTATCGCAGCCAATATCACACGTGAACCCTAAGCCCGAAACGCCATACAAAACATGCCCCTAAACCCTAAACCAACCGCAAGTTGCGCCAATGAAGGGTGCCAAGCAGTCCACTACAATGACCCGTCGTGCGCCAATGCCTGCGTGCTAATTGTCCCTGATGCGTGATGTGTACTTATGTGTACATACCTATATATGCACATGCGGAATTATGTCTGACAGGCACGCCACATCGACTCCTAAAGCCAGCTATCTCCCTATCTCTCATGTGCACATATCCGCTTTTGTTTTCGGCCTGTCCTTGTATTTGTGTAGGGGAATTGAACTAAACGTAAACAAACAATAAATCTCTGAATGCAAACCAAATTGCGCTGCAGAGCCATCAACCAGGTCAGGTCACCAATGACAATGCCAATCCTTTGCCCATGATGACCGTCATGACTACTCTTGCTGTCTTGCTGTGATGACGGCTCCCATCATACACTTTTCCGTTGTACATGCTTTTGTATTGATTTTGTTCACCGTTATCGTTCCGGTCAATGAGCTGTTTCTGACGATTATCATTTTTCTTTGTCACGATTGCTACTGCACCGTTTGCAGTTGTCATGATTCTTATTCTTCTCATTCCCGCTGTTTCTGTTCTTTTTCGACAGTACTGCAACCACTGCTGATCGTCACTTCATCCGTCAGAACTATTTAAAAAAAAACGCCTGACAGGACAATCCGTACAATATGTGACAACATGAAGGCTACTGAAACTAACCCATGAAACCATCGCACGCTGAAGGCAATATGGCCAGTTCCTGACACATCCGACTGCACCTTTGCCTTACCACGATGCACGTCTTGAAAGCAAGAACTGTGTCGCCTACTATACTTGAACATATGTTGGAACATCATGTCATATCATTGCCCCCTAGAAAAATCTACTACATCAAAAACTGCGGTAGCATCCGGTAACATGCTGTTTTGCTTTAGTATACTGACCTCATTTAAGTCTCCAAGCACTTAGTTATGCCGTCCCAAGACCTGTAACAATTACCAAAACAAGAGGCCAGGCATTGACTTTCAATTGCAGCCTTTCATTTCAACACGAGTCCGCCTGCCACTGAAGATGGGGACCGATAACGAGTGCCGATAGTGCATACAGAAACCCTTGTCCTGGAACAATGCAGGGCAGGGTTCCGGGCTTAGGGTCCAAAAAATAGGGGGCCCTGAATTCTACAGACATCCCTATCTGGGCCGTGCGTCAATGAAGAGACCGCCAGCATGTTCAGGGCCATGCCACTTGCCTGCGCTCGATAATCAAAAAGCAAGCTTCCTGCCGTTAATCACCATGGTGAGGAGTAACAATAATCATACTGGTGGTGCTGCTGCACTTGTTGTGGTGTTGCAGCAGAAAAAGGAAGTGGTATTATCATTCGTCGTCGTCGTCCTCGTCCTCGTCCTCGTCGTCGTCCTCCTTCTCGTCCTCCTCGTGGTTGACGTGGTCTTCGTGGTCAAGTAGCGGTCGTAGCAGCAGTAGCGGTAGTGGCAGCGGTTGCCGTAGAAGTAGCAGCAGCTTCAGTAGCATCATTAGTACAGCTACTACTACTACTACTACGATGACTACTACTACTACTACTACGACGATGACTACTACTACTACTACTACTACCAGTAGCAGTCCTGATGCTAACTACTCATTGTTTTTGCCTCTGCCAGATGCGCCAGGCCAGTGGTGATGGCGATCATCACGGCGCAGAGAACAGAAGCAAGACTACCTCAGAGAGACCCAAGGCTTTGATCTGAGAATTGCTGTATGACGTGTATATTCTGTGCATACTTGCGTTGTGCGTATGTTATGAGAGAAATACGACTTCCTCACATGCGTGTAGGGGCCCAGGGACATTCTGGGAATTGTGGGGGTCCTTATTCGGGATTCCGTAGGGCATACTCATACAAGCATCGTGCATGTAGAAACATCTTCTTTGTAGTGCCTATTCTTCTAACATGAGCAAATTCTGAAAATGCCATTGCATCCACATCATTGGCTCTGTCGCCCCAGACCCTGCTTAATCTCTTTTTCCACTCAGCATGTACATTTTCTCTTTTCGAAGATCCTCCATCATCGTCCCTCCCAAAGCTCTCTTATCGATTCGGGCTCTGCAAGCTTGCTGAAGCCCCCCTCACCAAACTGCGGTGTGCAACTAAACAACATGGACCTAATTGGCCTTAGGTCCTAAACCTCGAGAGGACAAGTTGATGGGCGGGATGGGTAAAAATTGTCCTTGCTTTCGCAGCTGGGCCGTGGCTGCACACCGCACACGAAACTGCACTCTAACAAATCATTGCAACTTAGCCATCACTGCTACTGCGCCACCTTACAGCAAACCGGGCAAACTCTGAACCCGAAAGCCTAGATGAGGGTCTCGAAAAATTGGGTGTCCCTTTCTGGGGGTCCCCATAAGAAGCAAGATAGTCCATTCGGATCTACATTGGCCCACCCATTTCTAGCAACTCTCAAATCCAGCCAGGGGCATTTGAAGATGTTGAGCTCTAGGGCGCTGCCTGCCAAATGGATGAAGCTGAGGGCTTGCGATTCCAATTTGGGTTCAGGGTTCAGTCTGTGATTGCGAGCTGGACTTTGAGCACGTGATTCACCTTGTCATCCATGCGTCGTCCCTGCATGCTCTTCGCATAACCCGTATGAAATCTTCTCAGAATGTCAGTCTAATCCCGGCAAAGCATTGAGGAGGACCTGTAAACTCCTGAACCCAATCTCTCGTCCCTAAACCCAAACCCTAAACCGCCTTTCCAGTGCTGTTCCCAAAAGATAAAGCCCACGACCATGAAGATTGGCGCTGCCAAAGCTGCAGCAACTCCATCGCTTCTGGCCATCGCGGGGATCCGCGGGCTGCTGTATGGGCTGTGGCAAAAACAGTTGTCAAAAGGAGATTAGAAGTTTAGGGTTAAGATTTTGGGATTGGGTGCTTTGGGGGCTTAATCATCCAGAGAACAAAGGATAACTACACAGAAAAAGGTATGACAGTAATGTTGTAGGGCCTCAATGGTTAGACGCCTTTCTCGCAGTAGCTTGTAATATATAAGTCTATAACGTAGCACATATTGGGCCTATGTGAGGTTCATGACACGTGGGGGCTAAATGGATAGTGTCCCATAGGGTCCCTAATTCAGCAGTCTCCGAGCCCAAGCCCTCCGTACTAGCCCAAACTCTAAACCCCTAAACCTTAAACCCTGAAACCTAAACCCTAAACTCTATACTATAATGGTTTCCATTTTCTTTTCCATTATCCCTATATAACCCCCTAACCTAAACTCTATAGAAGTACTTGTGGGGTTCTTCCAGGTTCCCATGTCGAACAAGAAAGGCTGCAGCCTGTCAGCACAACGTTTAAGGGCTTTGGGGTTCTGGGTACTTAGGGGCTCTAAGGTTTAGGGTTCAGGATTGGGGCCTTTGTTAGGGTTTTAGGGTTTAGGGATAAGGTGTATAGGGTTCATGATCCAGGGCTTCAGGCCTTTTGGAGCTTAGGGTTCAGCGTTTTGCGGTCTAGAGCAACATGAAGGTACGTACATGTAGTATGCTTTTCAGCATTCGATTCTATCGAAGCTCACATACAATCGGAAAATCGGAGCTTGTCATGACTTACCCGCGACCTTTCTGCAAAGCCTGTGTGCTACTATACCAACTATACCACACTTGAACAGTCTTGGGGCTTACCAAGAGCACCTGCAGTGCAACCACAGTACAAGAAATGACTGATTAGGAAATGTACGCGCTAAGTTAGTTGGATAGCACCACTAGCTGTTTTAGCTTCTACCTTTGCCACTGCTACCGCTTCTTCTTCTCGTCTTACAATTGGTATGAGGCATATGGTACCTACAGCAGTAAGAGCCGCACTCCATGACCTCATAGTTTGCCTGCCAGGACAAATCACTCCCCAAACAGAATCTCAAGGCTTCAGCTTTTGCAATCGTAAATGCTGGCGGTTTTAAGTACGGTCAGTTGCTTCCAGAAACACCAGGGAAATCAGAGACGAGGAGGCTTTGGCTGCCTGCTCTTTGTTGCCAATAGCAGTAATGACAATGGTAACAATAGTGATAGTAATAATTGTAGCAAGAATAATAAAAGCAACAATACTACTAGTAGCTCTGGGGAGAGGTCCCAATGTCCATGGCAGCTGCAAACCTTCAGCGTGGAGTAACTTGTCCATTGAAGCTTGCCTCTTTTCACGGCAAGTGTAACATCAGCGTGGCATGCGTTTGTCTGCTCCAAGTCATGATTTTATTACATTGGTACCTTTAGCCTCCTGCTTTTGGGCGCGCATGCGAATCACACAATAACTCCGGTCGATGACGTCTAGCAAGGAGGCGGCTAGAGGTGACATGCGATGTTGATATTAAGACTACCACATATCGGTACGGTCCATCCACCCATTGCGCACTGCGGAACGGTCCCATAGGGTTTCAATTTCAACTGAAATTCCTACTGCCTCTTGTATGTTAGTAAGACACGACAAAGATGAAATTTGCTCTCGGTAGGATCCTTTGTAAGGTGTCCGGCAGCAAACAGAACCATGCACCGGGCAACTCGAGATCCAAGTGCGCAATTAATTGAGTAGCTGGTCTCTCCACCTACGCCAAGGGCCAGCGGAAGGAAAAGCGTGAAAAGAACACACTGACAAAGGCCCGAAACATGTGAATGGCTTTCAAGGCTGTTTACTCAAGACAGTATGCGGTTTACTCCTGCTGAAAGTTCTGCATGCTCATGTTCCTCTAGGCCTCTAGGCTCCAGACTAAGCACGGAAGCCCCACACATTGCAAAATTGTGTCCTAAACCCCCAGAACCCCAGTGAATATACCTTATTAGAATATGATACTAGTAGTTTGCATTTACTGTTCCACTATCGCACTATAATCCCTTTATAGCCGCTATTCTGAAAGAAAGCAGTGGCAGATAGCCTGATACCTGGCAGCGCGCTGCTCTCGACCTCCTTCTTGCCGGAACTCATGAAGGGCCTGCACCGCCAAGTGGTATGGCGTATGCACCAAGCTTAGGGTTGAGTATGTGGTTCCTGGACGCAAAGTGAGTTCATTCTGCAGGACTAGAGGGGTGGTAACACAACAGGAGACCAGACGCAAACAGAATTCCAATTCTGGGGCAGCCCCTGTTGACCCTACAAACCCCAAACACGACAGGCTCCGTGAACCCTTCCCGAAGCTCCAAATCTGAAAGCCTCTGTTAGAGAGAGCTCATATCTTCAGGGAGGGAGTCGCAATGCTCAATGTGTTTTGCCCTTCTGTGGAGGGTCTTGGAGAGGCTGCTTTTGGACCGCAGAATGCGAGAGTCCTGACGGCAAGAATGCAAGCACCAATCAAAAAACACCAAGCGTATGACCCTCTACATACCATGCCTTTGAACTGTCCTTTCGGCCTTGCGGATAATGTTGATGGGCTCTAGGCTTTGCACACTCTACACAACAACGAAACACTCACAACATTTCCTGCAAACTGTGCACCCTGAACCGTTCGTCTCTTCGGCCAGGACTCACCTTTCTCGAAAGTAAATTGTCAAAATTCGTGAGCATATCCGCGCAATACAAGGACCCTAACAAGGCAAACGGCTTCTGCTGCCACCACAAGCTGATCACAACTATTTGCAGCTGTAACGGCCATACGGCTACTGCAAGTGCCACAACCTTTCCGCACGTAGCGTGTAAACTGTAGTGCTTCCACTGTTTGGGACATTCCAAATTTTCACACAACCGTCGTCTTTTCTACGAATGACATCATTAGACTGCATCAAGCTGCCATTTCAATAATATTACATCCAGTACAATCGCAATCTGCTGTCATCTCGTGGCATGATTGATGCTGGCAAGCTAGACTTGACCTTGTCTACCTGCGTAGTGGGAATGACTTCTCTGCTTATCCAGGACAGTGCCTGCTGAAACGCGAGCACCGCGTGCGTGGGCGGGGTGTACCTAAACTGCCTCACGCAAAGCCATTCTCAGCGATGATGCAAAAGCAGGAAGGCATAAGCGGCGTGGGAATCGGGAATGCTAACAATGGCAGACAACGAAGGAAATGTGAGCATAAGACCAAAAAGAGCACCTACGTAAAGAGTAGTACTAGCCTCTACAGACAATCGGGACAAAAGTAGCGGTGCTGTTCAGATGCTGTCTTCGAATGGGCTGCGGGAGCAGGGTTCAAATGCTGCCTTCTGATATCTTCGAAGAATTTGCCTTGTCTCCTGGAGTGGTATGACTACTGTCTTTGTGAGGCTTATATCAATCTGGAATGGGAGATTCCGACCACTGGCGCCCGCCGGTCAAGGGCGCATGACACGGGCTAAGAGGGAGCGTGCACGGCGACTTGCTTGGGGAGTAGGAAGGCCTTGCGCAGGGATTGCCAGCCTAGTTTCCGACGCATCTGGGAGCCTTTGTTGAAAGCCTTTACTTTGCAGCACCACAGCTTGCACTTTGGAGACACAGAATGGAAAAGCAAGACCTGATTAGGACTCTATCCCCGCACCCTTTTTCCAATTATCAGTTTGGGGCTCCTACACAATGAGGCTTTGCAGTCTCTGATGGAGACGGCAACGGACAAGCAGAGTCTTCGAAGACTATTACAGGGTGGGGATGTTACAAGGCTCTCCAAACATAGTCCGCAACACTGCAGTCCCTCAACAAACATACGAGTGTTGACTCGGTAGCATTTGCAACCACCTCATTTATCTGCTCAGTCTGCAACGCAAAAACAACAAAAATACACCATCGGCCTTGAACTTCCCGAACCTGAGTGATCAGAAGCTACTGAACATCTGGCCCGGTGGGCCCAAACATCCTACTTGTATGCATGGGTTTCGGGCACGAGCGATTGTGGTATAGGCTTTGAAGAAGGAACATATATTAAACAATTCTGGAGCACTTGGCCACTAGCGGTGCTTGACTTTGAGCATACGGCCTCGTAGATTCCATGAAGGCCCATTGCTCGTAGATGTCCTGCAGGCGTTCCACTTGTGATCTCATTCAGGCTTTGCGTCAGTTTTATCGTGTGATTCAGGGGTTGTTTGAAATCCCGTCTCAGATTTCCAAGGGATTGCTGTGAGCTCCCAGCCGTACGCTCTCAGTTGGGTGTGAGACACGGCAGTGCTACCGTATGTTTTTATCTATGCCGATTGTGGAAAAGGGCGTTGGCTTCGTGACGGCACAATTCTACGGTCATCCTTCACTAGATGCTACTGGAATCTCGAAGTCACAGTGAATCTGTTCATAATACGTGCGAGGATAGCCAGCAGTTCAGCGTTTGCAGACCATGACGGTGAATAATCCTTCTCCCCTACATGAGCCTTTCTCGGACTAATCTCACACCCATAGTCCTGGTCTACTCTCTGTGTTTCCCCCGCCTTTAAAGTGACAAAGCAGTGCTGCAGCACGGCATGGAAAAAGCAAGAAACGCCATTGAATTTAGGACGTGGGAATTTGGGTTTATGCAGGTTCATCAGGTATAGAGAGCACAGCACTTAAGCCCAGTCCTTGGTGTATCGTAGACGTTGATATTTATGCAAGAACTGCCCTGTTCCCAAGTCCCGACAGAAAAAAACCCAGACTGAATGTGATGCACACCATGACACATGCGCGGTTAACAATCTGGCTAGTCCTCAAAAGGCCCTAGAGCCCTCATAAGCCCTTAAAGATTCGATCCGCGATGATGCCTGTGCTGATCTTGGATAATGCTCAGGAAAAGACGTGACAGCAGGGTATTCTCAACTGAAGGCGATCTTATGGTTTGGGCTGTACTAGGTGAATTGCATCAAGAAACGCAGCCGCACACGCAGGCAAAGTAACTTCAGGATCAACCACAGTCTCAGAAGAACA